ATTAAGATATTTAAATTTTATTTTATTCTTATTGTATACAAGATGGAAATGTTCAGTGGTGTTTCATGTTTCTTCCAGAATTTGAAGCAATGACTCTGGGACTGAAATGCAAACATATTAACTACAAATTCACTGAATAGATCAACTATAATTATTGTAATAAAGATAAGTATTACTGTAACCAATTGTATAAAGACTGATGTTAGGGTGGGCCTATACATGGGAGGAAAATTTTCATGAAAAATTGACATGGGCTTATACATATGAAATTAAAATGTTACTGGTTTATTTGTACACTTTTAACCACTATCTTTGGAAGCTACATAACTTAAACACAGTATGTATGGATTTAGTCATGTCTGGCAACAGTAGTAAAAACCAGCAGTGGGCCCAGGGAAAATTCTCCTCTTACCCCTGTCAGACAAGCATGGACCCCCAATTGGTCAGATGCCCCTCAGGTATCAGATTTGCTGATCCAACCTACATCTCGGGTTTTACTTATTGCCCTGACAGGAGGTAGCCCCTTGGTCAATACCACCTGTTGTATATGTTGGACCCATCAATAGATATCTGGAGCCACCTCTGCTACCTTTGATATCTGTATCATTAAAATAGAGAATGTATGGGTATATTATTATATCTCTCAAATATTTCTTATTTTCTACATCTAACAATCTCAAAACAATTGTTATATTTCTTACTATATTTTTTGGGGGTTTGAAAAAAGAATAAAATTAATTAATTGTTATATTTAATACAAAAATATATATAATTATCAACATTTTATCCAACAGTCTAAAATCTGAATTTTACTATAAAAGTGAAGCAAATATATTAAGCATTTATAAAAAGATACAAAATACTGATTTATATTAAATCATTATGTAAGTCTACAATTTATATATAGATATGAGGATTTGGTAAAACCATTTGCAACTACAATTTTAAAGCTACACAAATAGTAGGCATACTACTATATTTGACAAATGTTACTTAATTTTAACTATATATGGCTATAACATTCTATAAAACCAAATGTCACATTTTTTTAAATATACATATATAATCACGTTATGAAAAGTATCTAGAAGTGATGTGAAAATATCATTAAAATGATATAAAATACTGAAAAAATTAGTGACAATTCCAAAATAAAATGTTATGAATTAATTGTATACAATGTTATAAAATACCAATGGAAATACAACAAAAGTTAAAAAGAAATAATAATATTGAAGGGAACATAAATGTCAAGTGGGTTTATTTTAGAAGTACTAATATTTATGGAAATGTGCTACAAAATGGAATATACAGGTCATATTATTCGATAATTATAACAGAAATGTTAATATAGCTCAGCACACTGACTGTCATATCAAAATAGAACCATTTAAAACTACAGTATAGTCATGTTACTGTCTCTTATACACATCTAGATGTGTATAAGAGACAGCTATAATACAGTACACTAGGTGTACCTATCTGACATTTGGGGGCCATTTTTTGTGGGGTCACTTTCACCTACATTCCAGTACAGTGCATACTGCCGTACAATTTAATTTTTGTTTAAAAGGTGTGTAAACTAAGAACAAAATAAGAACATTTTGAACATGAAATCGGCCAAAAAATAAGAACACTGAGCCTGGGCAAAATTTTACTGGTTCTT